CTCCAGGGCCCACCAACACGGGGTGGTGGGGGTCGCACAGGACTGAGGAGCTGGGAACGCAGGTCCCGGGAGGCCGGGGCTCAGCGAGCGCAGCTGCCAAAGCCGGCTGCCCGGGTCAGCAAAACTTTGTTCCCCAGTGCGCAGGCGCGGGCAGGGTTGGGAGGGGGGCAGGGGCGGGAGGGAGGGGTGGAATCCCGAGGCCGGGAGGAGGGAGGCGGGAGGAGGGAGCAGGGAGGAGGGAGGGTGGTGGGTTAAAATAAGTAGGCGGCTCGGTGCACAGGGATGAGTGAGTCTGAGCTCGGTTTCTCCCCAGCGCGTTCCCAGCCTTGACCGGTTCAGACCCGAACGACCCGGGAGCCGGGAGCCGGGAGCCCGGAGCCGGGAGCCGGGATCCGGCAGCCCCGAGCCGGACTCGCCATCCCCGGCGGCCGCTGAGCGCTCCCCGCGCGCCGGGCGCTCCGAGTCCCCGCAGCCGGAGAGGGGCCAGGGCTCTGGAGCTCGGGGTGCCTGTGGGATCCAGCGCTTCTGGCTTCCCGGGTCCCCCGCAGCCGGAGCCCCCGACACGCGCTCGCTGAGCCCGGGACGGGACCGCCGCGGACCCAGAGGTAAAGGCAGCCCCGGGCGCCTCGGCGCGGCAAGGGGGGTGCGGGCGGGACTCCCGCCCCTGTCACTGCGCGCCGGGGGTCTCCTCGCGCTCGGTACCCCAGAAGGACGCTCCTCTGGGCGGGCGGAGGCTGTAGGGCTTTGCGGAAGGGAGAGCCCATGCAGCCTAGGGTGGCTAGGGGTGCTGGCTCGGGGCTCCCCGACCTCTGATCTCCTGGGGATGAGGGAGGAGAGGGCGCGCTTCCACGACAGTCCCCAGAGGGGCCAGACTCCGTGAGATCCGGGGCGAGGTGTCCAGGGATTTGGGAAGTCAGCCGGGGGGGGGGGGGAGGGGGGGAGTGGTCCCTCTAAGAAAATGCAGCCACTTCAGCGGACACACACTTTCCGGAGACGGGCGCCTAGCCTGGCCCCAGCTTAGCCGATGGAGAAGGAGAAGAGCGAGCGGATGGACGGCCAGGGCCGCGGCCGTCGCCCGGGACAGGTGCATCCCCCTGCGGGGTCGCGCTCCTGGCGAACCTGTCTTTTGTGCAGTTGCGCTCAGGTTAGAGGGGGGGGCTCGACCAGGGAGCGCAGGGCCCTGTGGCTGGCCCATCTCGCACTGGCTTGGGATTTTCTAAGGGGACGATTTTCCTGGGATCAAGGCCTGGAGTGCAACCCACCGCTGTCCAACTGGAGACCGCCCCGCCGCCGCTTCCCCAGAAACACCACGGAGCGGCGGGTGTCTCCAGCTTGGGGTTTGGGAAGGAAGAGTTCGTTTGCTCCCTCCACTGTCCCCAAACCCAGCCTTGGGGAGAGGAGAGGGAAGGAGGTGAGGGCTGGCCTGCTGAGCTCATGTCTCCCCAGAGACGTCTCTGATGAGAAGGAAAACGCACATCCAGCACCCTTTCGGCCGCTCCCCGATAGCTAGCGCGGCACGGGGTAGGCTGGAGGGTGGCAGGCAGCGACGAGTTTCTTTGTTGCCACCCCTGGGTAAATTTCACCGGGCTCAGGGCTGTGTGCCGGCTTTGGGGAACAGAAACCACGTGCAAGGCTAGTTGGTTTCCCAAGATTCGCAGTTCCAGGAGCAGAGAAGGTTTGGCAGGGACAGGGGATGAGGATGGAGGGAGACCGCTGGGTAGATATGTCCTCTCCCACCCCCTCACCCCCAGGCTCCTCTAAGGAACTGTGGTTTCATTAAGATCGGGGAGCAGATCGCTAAGGGCGCAGAGGGCGTCTCAATGCGGCGGATGGAAGCCTGGCAGAAGGATTCGTTTGCCCGCAATCCGTGGGAAAAATTCAACCAAAGGAGCCGGGCCACTCGCGTTGGGGATTCCGCGTGCGGGATGGTTTTCTGGGGCTCCCGCTGGGCTCCTCCAGGCGCAAGCTCCCTGAGCTCGCTCCGCCGACCTCATTAATGCAAGCAGTTAACTCGCACACGCTCAATTAGCCCCGAATAAACCGCTTTAATAGACTCGGCACACTTCATTAATGCCCGGCTGGGGCTCCCTGCAGCCCCGGGATCGGCGCTCCACCGCGCGGGGACTCCGGCTTCCAAGCGCGACACGCATTTGCCGCGCGGAGTGGGGACCTGTGCCCGCACCTCCTCCGAGGTCCGGAGGCGATGCCGCTGGGCCTGGGGAGAGGGGTTCCCTCTCGCCTCGAATGATCTGCAGAGTTCACCCCGGGGTTCCGGGGTCGGGGCCCGCAGAGCGCACCCTCTGGGGCTGGAGAGCCGGGTGAGCCGTGTTTTGCTCTCCGCTGACCGCCGGAAACCGGGTCGCGCATTCGGCCCATTCTCGGTACGGGTGCAAAGAGCCACGTTTCCAACGAATTTCGTCCCCGGGAAAGTCAAAGTCGTTGGCGGGAGTGTGGGGAGCGCTGTCCTGGGAATGGGGCAGAAAATAAGAAACGGGCTGCGCTCCCGCGGAGGAAAACAAACAAAAAAAACCCCGAGTGTTGGGGAAACCAGATGAGGCGGCGGCCCCAGAGCTCTGGTGGCCGCAAGCGCCCCTCCGCCCGCCGTGCCCGCGTCTGCGCTCCCGGTGGGCGCGGAAGAGCCAGGGGGCCACGCCAGGTGCCTGGGTTCTCCCCCTCGGGCACGGGGCGGGCTCGGACCCGTGTGCAGCCAGAGTCCCGCCGCTCACTTGGCCGCGGGTCGGCGGAGCACGGAGACCTGGGAGCGGAGGGCCCCTCGGCAGGTCCCTGGGAGCCAGGAGGAGGGGGTGACAGCAAATCAAAGAGCGCTCACCTTGCCCGAGTCCCAGCCAACCTGTGAAGTTGGGGAGTTTTCTCCTTCTTCTCCTTCTCCTCCCTCTTTCCTTCCCCTGCTTTCTCTCTGGCCTGATTTCTATTTGATTCCTATGTTGCTTCGCACGTCCCAAGTTCTAGGATGGTCTCCGCTTGCCCCCAGGAGCCCTGGCTGGGGCAGCAGAGAAGAGGGGAGCAGAGGCCAGGGCCCTGTGCGCCCGCCGCCAGCACTCGGTCCTGGAGGTTCCGCTGCTGCAGATTTGGGCCCCTCCTAGCCCGGAGGCTGAGTTAATTGCTGTGGTCAGCTAGGTTTTCATTCAACCGCCAGAGGAAGGGAGCACGCACATTTTCACCGCAGGGAGTTTGGTAACCCCCCCACCACCACCACTCCCACCCCCAGCAGAGCTTCTGTCCTTCTGGGCCACCACATAGCGGGTGACCCTCCAGCCAGCCCCAGGGGACAAGTTCCTGGGTCTTCACTCTTCCTGCCAACGCCAGCGAGTGCGGTGCTTTATTCTCAGGGAAGACTTTGCTGCGAGGAAAGGCAGCTGAGTGTAGGCCAGGGCTGAGGGGAAGCCGGGCTTCCACACTCCTAGGTAGGTGTCAGCCAGTGCGGTGGAGGGGGAAGCAGAGCATCGTCCTGCACACCCAGGAAAGGAGAGATCTGAGGCGGAGGAGAGAGGGAAGAAGGGGTAAAGGAAGTGGGCCATAGAGGATTGGGAAGGGGGGGCAAAGGAGAAAGGTGTCCCAAGCTCCCTGCCCCACAAGGACTTCCTGAGGAGCCCTCTGCTCAGAGCTGAGAGGGAGAGGACAGGGCAGCCAGTTCTTACAGGGAGTTCAGCTTCAGAGAGGGTGCACTTTTCACTTTCGTTCCTCCTGTTTCTGCCTCCACCAGACCAACCTGAGTGTCCGGAAAGACAGAGATATAGGCCCTCTGCAGGCCACAGCCCTGTCCATGGAGACTGGAGACCCGGACCCAAGAGGCCGGAAGGTGGCTGCCCTCTGGCCTGTCAGCTGGCCGGTGGCTAGACAAGGCAGCTGTGGCAGGCCTCCATGCTCTTTCCTGCCCTCGGGCATACCCACCTGTCTAGGGCTCACCACACACATAATCATCCCTCAGAAGACCCCAAAGCCCCCTTTTTATGGGGTAGGGAAGGCACCTAAGTCCCCTTGTGTGCAACTGCAGGTGTCTGACTGAGTCCATGAAGATGGGTGTCAGTGTCCCCCCTGAAACGAAGGTGACCCCTGAGGACATCAGTCCACAAACAGCTTCAGAGAGGGTGTTGTCAGCAAGGGCTCACTAACAGTGAGCCCCCAAAACAAATTTGTGGTCAAAGTTGAGAGTTTTGAGGAGAAAGAGGATTATGGCTTCTGGAGGTCAGACTGAAGGTCAGCTGGTAGACCACGATGCACAGGAGCTGGAAATGCTCGATTGTGGGATTGTGTGAGCCCATACTAGTATGTGTGCCCCCGTCTGGAAGGCTCTTCCTGAGTGCAGAAAGATCCCTCTCATATTTGTGTGTTGCTCCCTGAAAAAAAAGGTTTTTTTGTTTTGTTTTGTTTTGTTTTGTAGAACACTGCTCTTCCCACTTAATCTTTGCACCATGTTGTCAACTCTGCTTCAGAATGTGTGGCTCTGTCCTCCTGTGTTTCTGTGTTTATTTGCACGTTGTTATGTAAATGTGTTTCCAGGGGTTCCTGTTATCTTTGCAGCAGAGTATACTTCTGAATTGACTCAGGCTTTTGTGGATGGAAGTTCCTGCATGCCAGTTTCCCTGGGATTCTGATGTATGCCCTATTTCTTATTTTAAGTAGGTTGTGTTTTGTTGAATTTACTTTCCTGCTGGTTCTTCTATCAAATTGTGCATTTCTGCCAGAGGCCATTTGGAGGGAGCCCTCCAATCACAACAGGGGTTCCTTCCTTCTTCTCCTCTTCCTCTTCCTTCTCATTCTTATTCTTATTCTTATTCTTATTCTTATTCTTACTCTTATTCTAGATCAGTGGGTTCCATGGGTGTGGTGTCTTAGACTTGGGCTCCTGCTTGCCCTGGGGGACAGGAAGGAAACAGTTGGGCTGGGATTCAGAAGGACGATTCACCCTGAACTTGTCCTCTCCCCACTCCCTTCTTCTCCTTGCAGACCCAGATTGAGAAGCTGCAGAAACGACCATCATGGGCAGCAAAACCTTGCCCGCACCAGTGCCCATCCACCCCTCCCTGCAGCTCACCAACTACTCCTTCCTCCAGGCAGTGAACGGCCTGCCCACCGTGCCCTCGGACCACCTGCCCAACCTGTACGGCTTCAGCGCGCTGCACGCCGTGCACCTGCACCAGTGGACGCTGGGCTACCCAGCCATGCACCTGCCGCGCTCCTCTTTCTCCAAGGTGCCAGGAGCCGTGTCCAACTTGGTAGATGCACGCTTCCAGCTGCCTGCCTTCCCCTGGTTCCCTCACGTCATCCAGCCCAAGCCGGAGATCACTGCTGCAGGTGGCCCCGTGGCGCTCAAGACCAAGCCTCGCTTTGATTTTGCCAACCTGGCCTTGGCTGCCACTCAGGAAGATCCGTCCAAGCTCGGCCGAGGGGAGGGTCCCGGCTCCCCCGCTGGTGGGCTGGGCGCCCTCCTGGATGTGACCAAGCTGTCCCCAGAGAAGAAGCCCACGAGAGGACGCCTGCCCTCCAAGACCAAGAAGGAGTTTGTCTGCAAGTTCTGTGGCCGCCACTTCACCAAGTCCTACAACCTGCTAATCCATGAGCGGACGCACACGGACGAGCGGCCCTACACCTGTGACATCTGCCACAAAGCCTTCCGGAGGCAAGACCACCTAAGAGACCACAGGTGCGGCGCCCTGGGTGGCCCTAGAATAGAGCTGCTCTCTGCCTAGGTCCTCACCGTTTTCCTCCCTAATGAGGAGGCCCTTGAGAACCCCCACCCCTCAGGGGCTCCCCAGCTTTTGGGAATTCCCTAAAATAGCTCAGGAAGCCAGGGACCAGTTTGGGGAGCATGGGTGGGGAGAACAGGGGATAAAGAGGACGGGAGGTTAAGTCAGGTCTCCCTGAGTTCTGGATGAGCACGCACACCTTCCTCACCCCTCCCTCCATCCTCAGTGCTGTCCAATAGAAGTTCCTGCTAAATGCAGAGTGACCCTCCCTGCATGTGACAACTCAGCGCTTGGGATGGGCAAGGCGTGTGATTGACAAACTACCTTTTACGTTTTGCTTAATTTCTATTTTAATAACCACATGTGGCTGGTGGGTCTCCTCTGGGACAGTGCAGCTCCCGCTAATTGTCCTACCCCTGGTCCCCTCACTCACCTTCAGCGCTGACCCCGCCCTTATAAGGAAGGCATGTCGGCCATTGGCCTTATGGATCAGAGATTGCTAAAGCTTCTCTCCCACCTCCCTCCCTGCTCCATCTGCAAACAGCATTTTGCCAGCTCCACACTAGGCACCCCCAAAATCCTCCCCCTTTCTTTGGAGGGCAAGCACCTCACCGTTGTGGGAGGGGATCTTGGGCAGCTGCTTCTAACATCGCATCACTTTGCAGCGATCCCTCAATTCCCCCTCTGTTTGTGTCCTCAGATACATCCACTCCAAAGAGAAGCCTTTCAAGTGTCAAGAGTGCGGCAAAGGCTTCTGCCAGTCCAGGACTCTCGCTGTCCACAAGACGCTGCACTCACAGGTGAAGGAGCTCAAAACCTCCAAGATCAAATGCTAAACGAGCCTCCTGCTGGCCCGGACCCTGGGCCTCGCCGCCTCCTCCTCCAGAGGGACAGAAGCCGGAAGGCGACTAGCGGACTGCCCGCAGGAGGGGCTCCGGACCTTCCCGGGCCCCAACCAGGTCCCCGGGGTGCCGCCGCTTGCAGAACTCCAGAGCCCCGCCCGCCCGGAGCCGCGACCCCGCAGCCAGGGCGGCTCCCCCAGGACGCGGCTGAACTCTTGGCCAAAAAGGCGGCACTCACGTGGCGGAAGGGAAACTACATTTTAAAAATATATATATAAGAAGAACGAAAGCTCCGCGGAGCCGCAGCAGCGCCTCCCCCAGAAGTATTACTTTTTCTATGGTTATTTTATACGTTTTTCTTTATTATTTTTTTTCTTTGACCATATAAGCTTGTAACTCTGACTGCGGAGAAAGAGGGGGAGAGGAACAGAAGTTCTGCGCGCTCGGAGCTTCCAGAACTCTCTCCCGCCCCATCCCCACCCGGGAGCCCGCAAAAGTGTAACCCTTTTATCTGCTTCAGCTGCCCGGCCCGCCAGGCCCTCCACGGGGCTCGCAGCGCCCGCTCCCGGCTTCCCGCTCCCAGTTCCCCGTTCCCCGGTTCCCTGTTCCTCGTTCCCCGCTCCCGGCTCCCTGCTCCCAGTTCCCCGTTCCCGGCTCCCGGCTCCCCGATCCCCGATCCCCGATCCCCGATCCCCGCTCCGGCCGCGCTGCGGGCCACGGGCTCCGGGACCGGCCTGCGGGGCGGGGCCGCGGGCGCTGGGCTGGAGGGGCCCGGCCTCGGGCTGCCCCGCTCCGCCGCCGCCTCCACCGCCGCCTCCGCCTCCGGGATCGAGCCGCGGGCTAGGACATGGGCGTTGTATTGCGATTGGCACTTTACGCTGACCATCGGTAACGGACATTTATCACTGGAGTTTTTAAAAATATGAAATAAACGGTTATTTTACAGGCAAGGCAGGATGGGTCATTTCCCTCCAAACGCAGGCATCGGGGCGCCGCCTTTCTCTGCGATGAGCAGGTTTCTCTGCCCTGGGCAGCCTGTCCCCGGCCCGAACCTGGGCGTTATGGGGCGATAGGGCTGGGATGGGGGTCTGGGTTCCCTCTGCCTTGTGTCTGCCTACCTTGGGCCCCTGCTCATATTTATTTTCTTACTTTTCCCGGCTTTAGCGCCTCACGCTCCCACCCCCTGTCTCCAAAGGGCTTTGCGTTTACTGAGAAGCCAAGGCGCCGGCCAGTAGATCTGCCTTTTGAGAAGTCCCAACATCTCGGGGCTCCCCGGTCGCTTCTTGGGGTTCGCTAAGGGAACCACAGGTCACCCCCTCCCCAGCCAAGCGCCCCCGCCCCTGGCCCGCGGCTGTCGCTTTTCGGTGGGAAGGACGCGTCCAATGTACAGCTTCTCCCCCAAACCCAGCTGCACATACAGGATCGCGCTGCCTCCCCGAAGACCCCAGCCTACTCTCTGCCCCCGGAGGGTTTCCCAGCCAGAATTCCGCGGAGATTCCCTGCAGTTTTCCAGCCGCGTCCGGAATGGCGGGGGCGGCGCCCGGGGAGGCCCCGGAGGTTGGGGAGAAATCGGAGTCCTCACTCCACCAGCTGAACCTTCCCCAGGGCGTCTAGTTTCCCACCATTAGAGTCCGGGCCGCCGGGGGCTCCCCCGCTGGGGCGAGGCGGGGCGCCCCGGCTCCAGCGCCCGGAGCGCGGGCGGCGCAGGCGGGGGCGCCCGCGGCTTTCCCAGGCCGAGCGCAGCCTCCCGGGCTACCGGGATCCGCGCTCAGCGCCCAAGATGCTGCGGCGGCGGGATCAACCTTCCCAATAAGAACCCCGAATCCCAGCCTTGGGCAGGGCCCAGCGCCTAAGGAAACGGGGGAGAGGGTCTGTCGGAGTTAAACCGCTCTAGGCGCCCCCTCCCCGCCTCTGGGATGGCCTCGAGGCCCAGGGTCGGAACACACTCTGTGGTTCGGAACCTGCTGTCCCGGAGGCCTCAGCCCCTGGCAGTTCGGAGGAGCCCTGCCCTCCGCGTTTGGAGCCGCACTGCCCCCTGCCGGACAAGCCCGGCGGGGCGGCCCGGACTCGGGGCACCTCACTGCGTCCAGCCCATAACCCAGGGGGACTGGCCTCTTATGGCCACTCACACAGATCAAAACCTTCTGGACTGGTTCCCGGGCCCCTGCGCAGGAGGACCAGCCTGTTGGAGCTTGGCTATTTGGACGAGATCCCAATCCCTCTTCCACTCGGTCCTTAAGGACCGCGTCCCAGGCGAGAAGGGACACCAGGTCCCAGAGAACTGAGCCCTCTGGGTGCATGCAGGGGTTCAGTCAGTGGGTTTGGGTTTCGCGCAGGCAGTGGGTGGGCTGCCTTTGGCCACGGCTTGTGATAAAGCTGATGGCAGGAGTGGCCACCTCAGGTCCCCAAGTAATCCTGTGAGACTGGCGGAGGGACTTGGTTGTTCCAAGACATCATGAGTGTGAGGGTACGCACACACGTGCGCACATACACACACACACATACACACACGCGCGCACGTACACGCACAGCTGCGGTGCAGAGCCTTGGGAACATCTGAGGATCTGAGCTGGAGCCCCACCCATCCCTTTGCTCTTCCTGGAGTTCCATCTTTCCCAGGACTGACCACCACTGCTGCCCACTCCTCCCCCACATTCCTCCACCTCCCTTCCCGGGGGACACTGCGCCTCTGCAGTTAGTCCGGTCTCAGGGACTTCCTAAAGGCTGTGAAATGGGGAGGTACCGGGAACCCCCCACCCTTTCAACCCCAGGCCCTGCAAGTGTGCCTCCTGGGAAGAATGGGTTCCCAGCGCAGAGTTTTCAGGGGGCGGTCGGAGGGGGACAGGGTGCTGCCCAGAGATCTCCAGCCACTCCCAGCATCTCTGCCTGGCCTTGCTCTACCCAGGATTGCTATCACGCTGGTGGACCCAGAAGCCACTTCCAGCCTACTTCTCCGTGGTCTACACTCCTGAAAGTGATTGCATAGATTGTGCAGAAATGGCAACTGCAAGTGCAAGGGGCTGCAATTCCCCGTGACCAGGTTGGGGCATTTTGTCGCTTGTATTCCTTGTGGGTCGCACGAAAAAAGCAATGCGAGGATCAAAAATGTTGGGTGGGTTTTCTTGCCTGTCCGCTCAATAGGAGCTAACTCCCCCTCCTCCCCGTACCCCCCTCTGAAAGTCCCACCCACCACCTCCCTCCCCTGCCTCCTGGCTCCTGGCGGGTTTTCAGGATGGAAGGAGGTCACTGGCTCTGGGCCGCTGGAGTTCAGCTGGGGTCCTACCCCCAATGCTAGGCCTGCGGTTCGGGGAGCTCCCGGCTGGACTCCTCTGCTGCCGGGTAGAAGGCGAGAGGCCGGCGGTGCAGCCTGGTTTCCTGGGGCTCGCTCTGGGACAGGATAGGGAGCGTCGCGGGGATAACAACAGCCCGCAGTGGCTTCACCATAGTTGGAAGAAGTTCAGATTCCATCTCTTCTTTCTGGAATGTAGCTGGGGAGCGCGCGGGTGGTGGGGGGGATGGGGGGCACCAAAGGACGTTTTCCTGAGGACCTCCTTGCAGGGGACTCACTAGGGCCCTGGGGAAAAGGAGGGAGAAACACATGGGGTGCTTAGGGCGCCTTCAGTTCCCAGAACGTGGAACCTGAGAGAGCATAACCCCTTCTCCCGCCCCCCCTTCCCTAGTCCCCCCCCTGGTGTCTCTAGTCAGTTCCTAGGTCCCATCCCACACATCCCAGAGTTCTAGGGTGCTGTGACGTCACGGCACCCTCCCGCGGACACAGTGACGTTTCACAAGCCTCCAGCCAGGGTCAGGGATTCGCTTCGCGATGTCTCTCATTTACGCATTCCATGACGTCACCGAAGGGCCCCACCGGAGAGGTGACACCCACATTTCCCGGCCCCTCCCCGAGAATCCCACCCGTAGAGGCGCCAAGACTCTGTCCTGTCCCCACCCATGGGATCCGCAGTCCCCAAGCGTTGGCGGTGGCCCGCGGGGAGGGAGGGAGGGTGTCTGGCTGCAACATCGCCCTGGGCGGCAGGCGTTGGGAAAAGGCCGCGCGGGGATGGCTCGCCCCGCCCCGACCACGCCCACAACCACGCCCCGACACAGCAGGCCACGCCCCGCCCGCCTCCCGGCCCACTGCGCAGGCTCCGCGCGCAGGCGCAGAAAGAACTCGCCGCCTAGAGCTGCGGCGCCGAGGTGAGCTGTCCCTCCGCGGCGTCCGGAGCCGCTGCCGGTTCGTGTGTCCCGCTGTCGGGGCTCACTGACGTCTCCAGCCATCGGCACCCGGGAGCGGACGAGGGGGACGCCACGCCGGGCTCCCGAGGGCTGGGGACGCCGTGGTGTCCCGTCCGCCGCCCAGGACCCTGTGCGGGAGCCTGCGGGACGCGCTGCCCAGCCTGCCTTCCTCGGGCAGCCCAGGCCGCCGCCCTTCGCGGGCAGGGTCTCCGCGGCAGGGGCTCCCCTGCAGCCGCGCGGGGCTCCTGACACAGACTTGGTCACTTAGGCTCCCTGTTCAGCCCGGTTTTCTGGGCCGCGGATAGAGCCAAACCGCTGCTGAGCCAAAATGTTTCATTCTTTACCTTTAAAAAATTATTTTATTTTATTTTATTTTATTGTTTAAAGTATTACAAATAGTAGTACATATGTCTCCTTTCCCCCCACCCCCCATTGACCAGTTTGCATGTTTCCATGGAAAACTTCACTAGGGACGGACAGGAGATATTTAGGCAGAGGTCAAAGCTCCTGTCTCCCGCAGAGGAAGAATCAGAAGCTGTGTTTTCCTGCAAGTGCGAGGGGCCAGAACACCCAGTCTTAGCTTTTCCTGCCACTTCACAAAGCTTTGGGCAAATCCCTTCATTTCTCTGGGCCTCAGTTTTCTCCCTGTAATGGGGATAAGGCTCTTCCCATCCACCTCAATTCAGTTGATGGAGAGGTCAAAGTCATATTTTCTCTGTCACATTCAGACCTTGAGCCCCAAACGGGCCCCTGATGTA